GGTTATGACAGTTCTATATATTTTTACCAGGATCTTCAGAATTGTTCAATCTGCATGTATCTATTAAGGCAAGCATCTATTAAGGCAAGTCATCAACAATTTTCATCACAAGATTTAAAGTGAGACAGGGCAAAATTCCTACCTTGCGTAGACCATAAAATGCTTACAGGCATAGAAGCCACATCCTTGATCTTTATCCAGCTATTGTTGCGCTGCCTGCTCCACGAAGAAATTATACAATAATACTCTCCTTTATCCGCCTCTGAGGTCCACTGGATTCGTAAACGGAAGGTGTCCATGGCTGACTTAGAAAAAATTATTTCCCCATTCTGGGCTCGTTGTTTGCTCCTCTCCCCAACTACCAGTGTCCAGTCCGCATCCATGGTGGCGAGAAGTTCATCTTTAACTACTTCATCACTACGTAAAGGCAGTCTGTAGTACCAAGACACAGTGTAACGGACATTTGCTTCTGCGTTTTGTGCTTCTGTGATCCTACACTCCAGTTCTGTGGGATCCTCTGAATACTTTGGCATTTTAGAAGCATTCAGAAACACATGGTAATTTGGCTCTGCATAGAATTTGGAAAAGAAAGAAACCAAAGGAAGCAATTACAAGAGTGAAAAGAAGACATGTATGATGTAAAGAATATAAGTAATCTATCCACAGATCATTTGATGATTTCAGAATACTTGTAGTACCTTGCCAGTCATGGCATAGGATATTACATTATATTCTGCCTTCCTTCTGTTATAAAGCTCAAGGCAGCATTCACAAGAATTCCTGAGAGTTTTATCATCCAGGCACAGACCAGACCATATCTGCTTAATTTCAGTATGTTTGCTGTATCCTCTGCCTTCTATAGTTGAACCCTGAGACACAGCAACTACCATTAGCCAAGGCAACAATGGGCTAGGTGATTCCAGTAAGTGAACCTTGCTGTCTTCACAGTGATATCCACTGGCATCTTCCAACAAAAATACAAGGCAAATGCTGACACTAGAAACACAGTAAGTAAAGCTATTTTGCAGTAATTTCACAAAAGCATTCTGGTCATGGAAAACAACATTTCAAATTGCAAGCTGTCTGCAAATTTTCAACATTTCAAATTGCAAGTCATCTGTGAATTTTCAACTGTAGGAGTTCAACATTTTGCAAAAGCATGCCCATAGGATTTTGGGTCTCTGTACCCAGTGTTTTCACTGTTTTAACAGTTCATTTTACACTCCATGGCCAATGATGTCAAGCCAAGTTAAAATGCCAATAAATTATTTATTATTGGAACACAGCCCACATTTTCTTGCTCCCAGTGCTCAGAATTGGAGGTAGCAACTGACAATGAACTTCAAGTTACCTTTACAGCCTTATTAAGTTCTTCTGACAATATCATAAGCACTCTGAATCTGAAGGGCCTCTCTCTGCTCTTTGTTACTGCACAGATAGCCTGGAATACTATATTAAGTACTATCCCAGATCTTATAAATCACAGAACCGGTGAGATAGTAGCTAGGACACAGTTTATTGCAGTAGTTAGTTTTCAAGAAAGAGGTGTGAATAACAGTTTTCTGCTTTGATTTTTTTAAAGGAAAGCTGAAGGCAAATAAGGATTCAGCTAATTACTTTGGCTTTTGGAAGGCCCTATGCGGTGGCTTGCGAGGGAAAGTTTTGGCTTTGACAGGAGTGCTCCAGCTAGGCTCTTCACACCGACTCTCAGACAGAGGATTTAGAAGGAAGGAATAAAAGGCTTGCTGGATAAGCCTCATTCCCGCACTCTGTCAGCTGTCAAAGAACTGCCTAGCCGCCAGTTCAATGGCTTAATACCCTGCCAGCTCTCAAGCTTCAATCAAGCAGGAGGGGGCTGGTGCTGAATTCTGCATGCAGTTTATGAACCTCAGATGATAACTCTTCTTCTGTTTTACCCTCCCCACCACCATCACCCCAGGCAAAGCAAGATCACTTGAAGAACACTTTTATCCTCCCTTCTTCACCTGCACCCAAGTAATTACTAATTGGGAATAAAAAGGAAAGAAAATTCCCAGCAGCTCATGAAATACTTTCAGCACAGAAAAGGTCACCATGTTTGAGCCAGCTTTTGAGGCTGGGAAAGGTGTAGGAAAGCAGTTGCTTCTCTCTCTAAACGAGCACATGCAGTCTGGGAACAAGAATTCAGTGGTGGGCTCTGTGGGTATCTCTAGACAATAGTGACAATATCATTCCCATAGTTATGCAAGTGGAAAACAAAAGTAAATGGGATGCTAATAATGATGCCATTTTCTTCTTCGATTTCTTTCATCAAATCTTAAAAGGTCCCTCACACTCAGTCCTCTAAAGCTGTCATCCTAAGCTTTCTTACTAGGGAGAAAATGTCTCACTGAATTCAGTGACACTTCTGAATAAACATGCTTAGAATCACACTGCACAAATATTACAAAACTTATCCAGCAGCACTCTCAGCTCCCAAGAGTACAGGTGGCTTCCCACCTGTCAGGAGGCTTCCTGCACTGCACTTTGAGAGGCAAGGATGAGGTCATTGCCTAGCTGGCCTCTGGCTTTGCCATTCATAAGCGTATGCACACCAACACTTGAATTTCATCAAAGAGAAAGCAAAATGCTTGTTTCCATTGTTTGAAAGGCTGTCAAGAATCATCTGGCTCCTAATTGTGAAGTCAAAAGCCAGAAACTTGAATTTTTTAATTATCCTTTAAGAGATGCTGACACATCAAGGCAGACTCTACAAAACAACATGGTTCTTCAGAAATTTGTGCTTGGGTTTCAATTTTTCATATGCTGCGTGGATGCTCATTTCTCAAAATATGTGCATAAAAAACAGGATGACAGAAGCTAAAGAGTTCAGCTAGGGAAACAGTGCATGAGTTACTGAAGACACAGTACTCCATGATAACAAGACCACGGAGTATCACAATAAGGAAAAATGAAAAAGCATCTCCAGCTAAACCTATGCCCCCCCCCCCTTTCATAGGTACTTTGCAGTCTGTTCACATCAGGTTTTGGGAAATCATCCCAAGATAAGTGCCCCGAGAAATCTTGCAGATTTGAGACCAAGGACACCATTTCAAGGGGGTTCTAAGCAATACACTGTACTCATTCACCTGCACAGTACTACAGAAAACCAGAGCTGTTTTGAGACAATATCATGCCATGTGGCACTTTCACAAAATATAATTTTACTGACATACTCTAAATGCAATGACGCTATTAAAATGAATGTATATTTGTATTAATGAATTCACTGTTTTTTGCTTTGTTCTTTTTTTTAAAAAAACACTTTATTCAGTAGAAACTGGGTATAACAGCTAGAAGCAGTCACATAAGTACATTTTTGGCAAAACTAGAAGAAATCACATGGCGCACATCCACCTTTCATAGCTAAAAGAAGCTGAACATTAGCTTTGTATGTTCTCTTCAGCTGACCAAGTGAAGAGAAATTACAGTGCTGCAGAGCAGTTTGTACAGCTGATAGCTTTATCAGACCGTTAGATAAGGCTGGGCCATTGAAAGGTGCTCAAAGTAAAGCATGGGAATTCTTTTGGGGGATCTTATACCAAAAAAGCCCTCAGGCTTGTGGAAAGCTTCTGAATGTCTCAGCTTTATAAAAGGCAGAAGGCATCTTCACGAGAGACACTAAGAACACTGAAGCTTCATGTGTTTTCAGTTCTCCTGAGAGAGCCAATTGATTATGCCAGGGCTCTTCTGGGTACTACTGGGTGCCCTCCCCCTTTTCACTGTATTAATGACTTCATGATCCAGACGTTCTCAGTAAGAAAACAATGAGAACTATTTTAGAGGAGGAATAGCAACCATCCAGCAAGGTGGATTAGGCTGAGAGTGCGTGGCCAGACCAAGTTCACCCAGCACATTTCCTTTGTAGGAAGTTGTAGTTATTTCTCTTGGGAAGAGTATAGTTTTGTAGACAAACACATGGCCCTCAGTCTGTGTCCGGATGCCTTCTTATATTCTTGATGAGCACATGAAACAACTCATGTACAAAAGCTCGCAATGCCCAGCCATTTCATGTTTTTCCTTGGGTCCTAGGTTCAGAACACTGGGCATGAGAGTCCTGTAATGAATGTCAATAAATCAAAAGTAGGTTTGCAGCTTACAGATACACACCTGAACAGCATACTCAGGATTGCTACAGGACAGACATTTTGATGCAGTAATTCAGAGCAAGAGGTGTCAGTTATCAGAGACTGTTAAATAGAAAAAATATTGCAAGAGTACTAGTGTTTTAAGCATGTTTTATTTAAAGTTTAAAAATCTTTAATTGTGTTTGTCTGTGTCCTTTATAAAGTTTATCTCTCCACTACCTGGTATTACATTTTATGACACACATGGCCTGACCCAACATGATCTCATTTATATCAGATCTGACCCTCATAACAAATGAGTTCGACATCCCTGGTCTAGAGCGCCACATTTGCAAGGTAGATACCACATTTGCAAGGTAGAATTGATGGGGGGAGGGTACCCATCACAGAATGTTGGGAGGCTCTGAGCCAAGTAAAGCATGGGAGTTCCTGTGGAGGATCTTATACATATTATTCAAATAAGGTATTTTTAACCTTATGACTTTGCAAGTGTTCTACTATAAGGGAGACAGCTTCTTCCATGTGGGAACTCCATGCAGTCACAAAGGTGCACTTCCAAACTCATCTGAAGTACATCCTATGCGAATGAAATGCAGCAAAGCAAGGAACGGCTCTATGCTTTGAAGAAGAAGCAAATGGGCATCAAAAACATACATCAATGAGTGCAGTGGCACCCTCAAACACCACCCTGGAGACCACTAGTATTAAAAAAGCCATAGGATAAGTAGTTTATCAGGATACTTACCTAATGGAGTCACCTCCACAGTGACTGGCACAGAGGTTCTCTCTGCTACCTTGTGCCAGCTACCATTGTATTGTGGCACCCACAGAGCTGCTTGGCAGAAGTAGTAGCCAGAATCTTCAATACTCATGTCACGTACCAACAGGTGGTAAGAACTTCGGTCTACAAGACTGAGGCTAATGAGAGTAGAGTCACTAATTACAGAGTCACGGTCTGCACTCAGCAAAATCTGAGCATCTTCCATGGGGCCATCAGGTGATTCACTGTAGTACCATGTGACCTCTGCTTGGAAAATGCCACTTCTATCCGTTGTGAAGTTGCAGGTAAGGTCAAGGGAGTCTCTCTCTGTCACCGATACATTAGTTCTAGTGATGAACACACCTAAAGCTGTGGGGGGGTCGAGTGGGGGAGAATTCAAGACCAGAACATTGTTATTTTAAATTTCATAGTACAGCAAGTTATGTGATTGTCAGTTCACACTGCCTGCTTATTTATGTACACCTTTCTATTTGCATGTAAAGTGCTTCAGGTGCATATTGTTCAGTGTTAGAATGAAAGGCAGCAAAACACAGACTCTTTCAAGTTTTACTGATTCCTCCGCGCTTGAGCTTAGAGAAATTCTAGTATATTACCAAATTCCTGGAATTTAAAAAAACTACTTTTGCTTATGTTGGCATATGAAAGGCCTAATCCACTTGCACCTTTTCTACTAAAATTCACTGACAGGCTAACATAAAGGATCTTACATTTCAGCGATAATATACGGTACATATGAACCCTTTCTGACTGGAAGGTGCTCTACTAAAGAATATAGCGTGGCTTGCTATAGTTTTTTTCTTCCTCAAACAACAAATGGCATACCTCTCTTTCTCACACACATAAATGTTTCAAACCTCTGTTTTGAAGCAACACTATGGTGTAACAAAAAATGCTTCATCATGAACTTAGGAACTTGGCAAAGCAATGCAAGAAATAGAAAACTCTTGAAAAAATAGAGGTCTACTTTATTTTCTAGCTGATACACACTTTCAAAGAAGGAGCAAATTGATTCACTCAGATTTCCCAATTTAACCACCATCAAGACCTAAATAACACTGTAATTACTTATCCTGGTAGTATTCTCAAAAATTCTCTCAATGATGATTAACTGGATTTCAGACTTTGCCAGAACACACTTCTAAAAGTAGATCATAATTTTACTTTGTGAAGGGGCCATCTTGCTTGTTATTCCTTTCACAATATGACAACTGCATGCTTATATCTTTTGCCATCTATGTGCTTGGACACTCGGATATCCAGCATACAAAGTATGTCATCAAAATAAAGAAAGCATCACTAATTTGAAGACAACTGCAGGTTTCTGTTAACTTTAAACCCTGAACAATCTCTAATATCTTTTTGAACAAATACCCTAGCAAAAGCTCCTGAAGGGGAAGCCTCTAGGAAGAAGTTATAAAAACAACTTCAAAAACACATCAGATCTGAAACAAGTACCACCACCATCACCATGTAGTCCAAAAATAGCTATACAAGGATATCCTAATATGCTGTATTTTTTTTCACTGAAAGATCTTAATATTCACTAGAAAACTTGGGTTGATATTCTGTGCCATATGAAACATTTAAGACAGTAAATACCTGTGCTGACCTACGGGGCAACAGTGCCTACAACTTTCATACACAGTGTTGTTTTTCCCTTTGTGATGGCATGCCAATGTTCCTCAAACCCTTTATAAACCCTTGTCACCAAGGCAGAGATAGAGCTGCAGACCATGATCATTTGATGCACACTCACCTGTTGGCTGCACCACAACATTAGCTAAATCAACACTTTTTTCTTGGATCTTTTGCCATGAACCATCTGCATCTTTAACCCACTCACTCACTCGACATCTGTAGGCACCCTCATCTGATGGAAGAGCCTGAGACACAGACAAGCGGTAAATGTCATTGGCCATGGCATCTAAGCGCACATATCCACTGATATAGCGCTCGTTATAATCTGGGCCAGGCTGAAATTTGCCCTCATGCGTTAAAGAGAGGATTTCTTGCCACACAAGGTCATTCTTGAATTCCCAAGAAACATGAAGATGGGTGTGTTCCGAGGAATTGGTGGAAGCTGAGCAGCGCAACTGAAATGAATCCCCTTCCGATAAGTTCAAAGCAGATGCAGACCGTGCTTTTGACCCAGTCACAGTTAAGCCATCTGCAATCACTGTTTAGAGAAGAGAAAGTTATCAGACTTGCTAATAATAATAATAATAAAAATAATAAATGAATTTACAATAAAGGTGACGGTGAAACTGAGTCAAGCTGTGATAGGTTGTCATGAAAAAAAGATGCCTAATTATACAAATGACTATGCAGAGGCAAAACAAAATCACTCATGTCAGAAAATACCAGCAAATCTTAACATCATGCTCTTCATATCTCAACTGGGTGGTTTAGACTGAGCCAACTGAAACTGAATCCGTTGAAGATGGGGGTCCTGTGCCTGAGTCGGACCGGACCAGGGTTATGGATCCCGCTCCCGACCTTCGATGGGGCACCACTAGCACCAGAGGTTAGGAGTTTGGGAGTGCTCCTGGATGCCTCCTTAACTATGGAGGCCCAGGTAGCAGCCACTGCCAGATCAGCTTTTTACCATCTTTGGCTGATCAGGCAGTTGGTTTCCTTCCTCAAACATGACAACCTGGTGAAAGTGATCCATGCGATGGTCATGGTCACCTTGAGACTGGACTACCGTAATGCTCTACATGGAGCTGCCCTTGTCTCAAATCCGGAAGCTGCAGCTGGTGCAAAACCCTGCAGCCAGGCTTCTGATAGGGCTCCCTAAATGGGAGCATATCCAGCCTGTGCTAAAGGCACTGTACTGGCTGCCGATAGCATACCGGATTCGTTTCAAGGCGCTGGTTCTTGCCTTTAAAGCCCTATATGGTCAAGGACCTACATATCCGAGGAACCGTCTTTCCCCACATGTCCCCCAAAGAGCACTGCGGTCAGGGGCTCAGAACCAACTGGCCCTCCCAGGTCTTAAGGAGGCTAGGCTGTCAATAACCAGGACCAAGGCTTTCTCAGTGGCAGCCCCATCCTGGTGGAATGAGTTCCCGGAAGAGATCAGGGCCCTGCGGGACCTCCTACAGTTCCACAGGGCCTGTAAAACACAGCTCTTCCACCAGACTTTTGGGAGCCGCCGCCGCCACCAATAACAGATGGCTGAATGTGAGAGGGTCCTGGATCCCTGAAACTGCCACCAACAGCCTAAAGGACATCAAGCACTTCAAGAATAATCAAAATGAACACTGCGAGTTGACTGTGAGTTAAGAATACCGAATTATGGCTGCCACCATCAAACGAACAACAACGATCACTAGCTCTTTATTATGGTTTTAGAATTGCTTTTAATTGTAATTTATGTTTTAAGGTAACATATCTGTTTTTATGTAAGCTGCCCTGAGCTGGCTAAGGCTGGGAGGGCGGGGTAGAAATTCTATAAATAAATAAATAAACAAACAAATAGTTCCACCACCAAAAGGGACCATCTGTTTTAAAAGTATAAACTGCTTCCTCCCTGCATTCTATTACATTATCTTTATACAAACACAAAATAATTAAGGGGAAAAACCAAAATGTTTTAGGAGGCATTTTCAACCTGATAATTTTAAAGTCAAACCATCAATTAATCCTACAGTTCCATAGGGCCTGTAAAACACAGCTCTTCCACCAGACTTTTGGGAGCCGCCGCCGCCACCAATAACAGATGGCTGAATGTGAGAGGGTCCTGGATCCCTGAAACTGCCACCAACAGCCTAAAGGACATCAAGCACTTCAAGAATAATCAAAATGAACACTGCGAGTTGACTGTGAGTTAAGAATACCGAATTATGGCTGCCACCATCAAACGAACAACAACGATCACTAGCTCTTTATTATGGTTTTAGAATTGCTTTTAATTGTAATTTATGTTTTAAGGTAACATATCTGTTTTTATGTAAGCTGCCCTGAGCTGGCTAAGGCTGGGAGGGCAGGGTAGAAATTCTATAAATAAATAAATAAACAAACAAATAGTTCCACCACCAAAAGGGACCATCTGTTTTAAAAGTATAAACTGCTTCCTCCCTGCATTCTATTACATTATCTTTATACAAACACAAAATAATTAAGGGGAAAAACCAAAATGTTTTAGGAGGCATTTTCAACCTGATAATTTTAAAGTCAAACCATCAATTAATTTCACGTGTGTCTATGAAGTACAGTTGACCACAATGCAAAGCTAGGTCATCTGCCATCCTTGGAGCACATGTATCACTAGTGTGTAGGTGGCAGAGTAAGGAAAGGTACAGCTATTACAAGCTCACTCTGAAAATTCAGTCACATTTACACAAGATCAAGAATAATGAAGTTCAACAAGACTACCTGATAAGCATAACTGGAAGTGCACCCCAGATCTTAATAGATGACTTTAAACTGTATCAGGCTGAGGACAGGTTATTATTTTATACTCTATGATAACAAGTTTGCAAATATTTATAACACATTTGATAGACCTAAATGAAAAAAAATCCTCCTTCTTTCAAACAAAGACAAAAATGCACCCCATAAGACAGATCAAGTTAATTCTCCTCAGACAGTCCAAGTAATGCTTGCAAAGTTATGCTAAGACCCAATGCCAATTGTAAATACCCCTCACCCTGCAGAAATACCTTTGACTTCGACTACAGCATTGTAATTCCCATAAAAGACAGAATCAGTGCTGGGTGTAGTGCAACGATATATCCCTTGGTCCGTAGGGCGAATGTTTCCAATCACAAGTTCCACAGCATTGTTGCTGTTCCGCTTCAACATGATGTCTCCATGAGTAACTCGATCTCGATATTTCTCAGACATGAACAAAGGATCCCAAGTACTTACTACATGTAAAAATTTACAGTCCTGAGCAGGGTTTGTACAGAACTCCCAATCAAAGTTCTGCTCACTGGGTCCATCATATTGAGTAACGTTGCAGGGTATCCTCACTTCTGTGTCCTCAACTCGTACTAAGGGACCAGCAGGCACCTTCACAATGCGCCCAAGGGTGGAGGCTGGAGGGGAAAACAGACAATTAAAAAATTAATTCAGATTTTGCCAAAATAAACTGATTTATGGACATGGCCAAAACACATGTGTTAAGTCTGTATGTTGTAAGCCATATCTCCAACATGCATTTGATAGATTTCAATAGGTAACAGATAACTTGTGAGGTGTAAGATACCACTGAAAAACTATCTGATACAATTTCTCCCTCAAACTCATTGACATTAATTTTGGAGCAACTTTCTCCCAGATCCAGTTCCATTCCTGGACATTCGAATCAATTTGTAAATCTTCCTCCCATGTCTTCATGGAACTTAGGCAAGTGGTGTCTAGATATGATATTGAGTACTAAACCAAAACTATCCCTCTGCTACAAATATGATTGTTACTAATTATAGATACAAAAGGAGTTTTGGGTCTCAGACCACTATGCTTTCTCAGTAAAGCAGTTATTATATGTCTTATTTGAGGGGAAAGTGGGGGTTTAATTCCCCCAGCTTTTGCGTTACTTAAAAATCAATTTGCTTTTAGACCATTCTGATCAATCTCTAGTAACATCTTCACTGCAATGAGGTTAGGAACGCAAACAATTATTTCATGTCAATAGAGACAGAAATTCAACTGAATTATTGCACTGAATTGATGTAAGAAATATTTGTTTTATTCATCTGAAACGGCAAAGGAGTCCTCCTGCTTCTATTCACAGAAAGCAAAATTCAAACTGATGTAGGCAAAGAAGTATTATTTCACAGGGCATGCAAAGCTAAATCATTTGGGCTGGCCTTCGGAGGATAACTATGTGTTTGGGCTGTTTTAACAGTGGTATGGCAATAGACACGTATTTTAATATTTTAATGATTTATATTTGTTATTCATTTTTATGTTTTTACCATATTGGTTTTAATGTTGTAAGTCACCATGAGACTCTTTGGGTGAGTGGTAACTAAAAAAAAATCTAATAAATAAATAAATAAAATTAACTTTAACAATAGCAGTATTACAAGTTATACTTCAGATTTAGTCACATAGTCACAATGCAAGAAATAAGGTAAAATTGTACTTTTAAAAAGTTGAGCAGAAGTGCATGACACTTTTGCTACCACAAGAAGAAGGAAGGAAAGAGAGAAAGAAAGAGAGAAGAAAAGAAAGAGTGAAAGAAGGAGGGAAAAAGAAAAAGAAGGAAAGGAGGGAAAGAAAGAGAGGAGGGAAAGAAAGAAAAGGAAAGAGGGAGGAAAAGAGAAGAGAGAAAGAAAGAGAGAGAGAGAAGGGAAAGGAAGGAAGGAAGGAAGGAAGGAAGGAAGGAAGGAAGGAAGGAAGGAAGGAAGGGGAAAAGAGAGAAAGAAGGAGAGAAGGAAAGAAAGAAAAAAAGGAGGGAAAGACGGCAAAGAGATGGGAGGAGGCTCTCCCACCCCTCCATCTAGCCCCCACCCACCCCTACAGATCCCTCACTAACCCTGATCAAGCTCTTCAGGCATGGGTGCAGGAAGGCTGGTGGGCGGGGTCTTCGGGCCTCCTGTGGGCCCCAGCGCCTTGGCGCGGGTCCGGGAAGGCCATCAGGCGGGGTCTTTGGGCCTTGGCGCAGGCCCGGAAAGGCCAGTGGGTGGTGTCTTTAGGCCTCTCGCAGGCCCAGGAAGGCCGGCGGGTAAGGTCTTCGGGCCTCCATGGAGTCACAGGAATACAGGCCAGCTTGTGTCATAAGATCTTGTTTACTACCCTCATGATGAGAAGGATTGGTAGAAAGAGGAAAAGGGATTTCCCTCTCCAAGGGATTAGGAGACCGTCTCCTAGAGAAAGCGGGTCTGCTCCCCCTCCCTGCCACAGAGTTGGGGCACATTTGGAGTTTGATCTTGTTGCAAAGACATCCACCTGTGGTTGGCCCCACTGTCGGAAAATGGGACTCAGGTACTTCCAGTTCAGCTCCCATTTGTGAAGCTGTGCTGCGCCCCTGCTGAGGGCATCTGCTCAGTCGTTTTGAGTACCCGGAAGATGCATCGCTAATATCCAGAAGTCATGACTGAGGCACCAATCCCAAAGAGTGAAAGCCAAGTGACATATTCTGCGGGATACGGTCCTGCCCTATCTGTTCATGTAGGACATGGCTGTGGTGTTGTCCGCCAGGATTGCAACCACTTTTCCCTGTATCATCAGCAAAAATGACTGTAGAGCGTATTGGATCACTAGCAACTCCAAATAATTGATGTGGGAGCCCTTCAGATGTGTTTTCCACACTGATCCCACACAAAAGTCGTTGATGTGTGCCCCCCCATCCCCACAATGAGGTGACTGTGGTCAGAGTGACAGTGGATGTAGGTGGGTGGAACGGCACCCCCACTAAGAGATTCTGAATGCTCTCCCACCATAGAAGCAACTTCCCCATGCTTGGAGGCACCAGCAGAAGCTTGGACTGAGGATGTCTGGAGGATTTGAAATTACGTACAAACCACAGTTGGAGGGGTTGCATGCGGAGTTCCGCCAGTGGCAATACACTCGTGGTGGCTGCCATGAGTCCTAGTAGTTTCTGTACCTCCAGGACGGAGACCACAGCCTTAGAGAGTGGGTCAGGGATGCCAGAGTGTGAGCACGCTGTATAGGAAGAAATGCCCTGCCTACTGTAGCATTGATCATTTCCTCTATAAAGTTCACCTGTTTGGATGAGATCAGGCATGATTTTTTTGTGGTTGACACAAAGACCCAGCCACTTGAGAAGAGTCAACTGTACATAGATCAATAAGAGGCTCTTGGATCCTGCTACCAAGAGCCAATCATCTATTTCCATTACCCCTTGAAGCCTTAGGTGAGCTGCCACCGCCACCATTGTCTTCGTGAACACGCTGGGTGCCGTCGAAAGACCAAACGGTAAGGTCATGTACTGATAATGGTGCTCTCCTATGGCGAAGCGGAGGAACTGTCTGTAGAGGATAAAGTTGTCTAGGTGGAAGTAGGCATATTGTAGATCAATTGTGGCCATCAACATCCCTAGCTCCAGAAGGGGGAGTATGCTCTGGAGAGACGTCATCCAAAATTTGCGGTATACAACAAATTAATTGAGAGCTCTGAGATCTAGAATGGGACAAAGACCCCCCCATCGTCTCTGCAGGGGGAACTCCCTCTATGGCTCCCTTTTCTAGCAGTTGTTGAACTTCTTGCCGAAGGGCCAGCAATGTTGCTGTCTGAACGAAGATGGGAGTGGGGGGCATCTGAACCCATTCTATGGCCAGTGCGCCAGAATCTTCCTCATCTGAATTGCTCCCTGTGGAGTGAGAAAATTCTTCCTCTCCTGACAACGTGTGTGACAGGTCAAACTGCATCGGAAGTGATGTATGAGCCATTGGCTGTGATTGTGTCACTGTCAATCTCGGTGAAATCAGCCTCGATTCCTTCCATGAGGGAGGGTCTGTCGGTATCAATGGGTTCTCGCGGGCCTTAGACGGTTACAGTATCAGGGTAGTACGATCCCGAGCAGGAGAGGGATGGTGGGAGATGCTCGATCATTGATCCCAGTCCCCCAGCTTAGTCTGGTTCAGCCACGGGAACATTGTGGCTAATGGCAGTGTGCTATAGAGGTACTGCAGCTGTCTATGGTCCCACGGTACCATCATAGATAACTGAGGGATGGCAAAGGCGGCAGGCGGTCTGTCACGAGAGGACTGATCCCAAATCTTGAAGAAGGGCTGCTGTGGCAAGAAGATTAATGGTCTCGTCTATGCCTGGATCTACATCGATGTCGACAACCGGTGTTGATGGGCGAGTGGGAGCATGATTGGTCAGAGGTTGAGGACCTGGAGCTCTGCCTATGGGATACCACTTAGTGTGAGGGTATCCCTTCAATCTCCGATCCCAAAGGAGGAAGATCTTCCGGCATCGGTCTGTGTGCCGGGGAGACCATTCGACAGATCAGTGAATCCAGCAGCATGATAGGTGGTATCTCTGGCATCATCGACAGATCCGATGAAACCGAGCGGAGCAGGGCAGCAGCAGCCTGCATAGTAGCCGTTGATGCTGCACTCATCGGAGTGGACTTAGGGCTAGGTTTAAGGTGCTTGTGTTTCACCTTAGTATGGCCCTTTACCTCCTTTTTCTTAGACGTCAGTGTCAAGGACCCTGACAACGTTGTCAGTGTGGGTGGTTTTAGTGTTGATTTCCCAGCAGTGGGGGAGGCGATGCCTAATGCTGCGGATGATCGGGGCTGATCCTTCGGTGTCGATTGATGCTGATCCGTTGGTGTTGATTGAGGTCGATCGTCCAATGCTGACTTTGTGGTTACCTCAATCAGTGTAGAAGTCATTGCCCCTGGTCGCAGTGCTGACTCCAGAAGAGCCACTTGAAGTCTGGCCGCTGTTTTTCCTCGTCTGATTCAAGAACTTGCCGCAATGGACAAAGGTGTTAGTACGATGTGCCTCACCCAAACAGAGCAAGCACAAAGAGTGGCCGTCGGGCGGTGCTAGCTTGGATCCACACTGCGTGCAGCATTTGAAGAACCCCCACCGCTTTGCAATAGAAGTGGGGCAAAGCAGTAGAAGAAAGAGGGAGGGGGAATCCAACCGAAATTGGCAAGAAAAACAAGATAATTAACCCTCTTTTTTTTTTTAGAGCGAAAGAAAACCAATAAAAGTGAGCAGATAAGGTAGGAAGGACTAGAAATGAAAGAAAAACACTGACCCTAACAAGAAGAAAGTTCCTGGACCGAAGCAGATCAAGTGATCAGCGTGGCGGTCAGAAGAGAACTGGTTGGGGTCCCCGTGCATGCTCGGAGGAGGGGCTCCGAATTCTCTCAAGCTTGATAGAAGCTTCCCGAATCGGAGTCAGTGCAGGCGCCTAACCCATAGGTGTGATGCATAGAGACCACGATGAAGATCAAATAGTTTTGCCACCATGCATAAATGACAACTGCACCAGTTGAATAGTGACCTAATAGTCCTTGACAGTACAAGTCTCTCTTCAGATCAATGTGGTCACCAGCCTGATGAAGCCCTAAGAAAGGAGCTCCTGATGAAGCTCCTTTGGTTCA